CCTGCAGCCTCGTCCTCTTAAGAATTACTTTTTTCTTACTTTGCTCATAATTCTTGTCTGGGTACCAGGCTAACCTGGCCTCAGTCAGGTCTAAGTCAGGTAGGACCAAGACAAACCCACCATCCCTCAGTTTTCAAGGACGCCGTTTTGCCTGGGACTGTGCAGGAAGAAGGAGGACGAGGTGCCGTGTTGTTTCCCTCTGTCAGTAGCCATGGTTTGACCTTCTCCATTGGGATGAAAAGGCACTGACTCCTATTTCTTTGCAGCCTTATGTTCTGAAGAATTACAGTTTTATTTCCCCTTCATAATTCTTTTCTGGGTGGTGGACTAGACTGGCCTCAGTCTTGCCTTGAAGATTTCTTTCCTTTTTTTTCTTGGGTATGTTCATGCTTTACAGATATAATTTCACTGTGTGTGTTTATTTTTCTCTAGGAGTGACAGCGACTGATACCGCTACTGGTAAGGCTGATTTTTATTGTGTGTAGGACTGGGGCCTTTCTGGCCCGTGTGCTTTCTTTGGCTTTGTCAAGTTCACGTTTCTTTCCAGATAACTGGGACTCCTCTCCCATCTGTGAATAATGCCAGAGCAGCCCTTTACTACTTACCATGGTGAAAATGCAAACCTTTTCAGAAAGTGTTTCTGGCTGTTCCTGCCAGAAATACACCATGAAGTGCATTGTGTGTTCCTGTGAATACCCTGCCTTCTTGCCCAGCTGGCAGGTGTGGAGTCTCCGGGCCATCCTTTTAGGACAGCACCCTCCTGGAAGTAGCTTTGAGAATGCTTGCTTTGTTTCTCTGGTTAATCAGTGTTTTGACTGGACCCTGCCCATCTCTGCCCAGTACAACACTCTCTGTCATTCCCTAGCTGTAGTAATTGAGGGGAATGCTACTGCTCGTAAGTTTCACACATATTCCTTTTCATCTATTATAACTATATTATTGTCTCCAATTGTTCCCTAAAGTCAGATGAGTTTGTACCCAGTAAAGCTACTTACATTTGGGCACTTGAGAAGTAATTTCACAATTACTTAGCAAGTAGGTGTCATCGTCCACTTCTTCGTAAGTATGACTAATTCCTATCTCAGCTGTGCATTCACGCATATCATTTTAGGATAGCATGTATTTCAACTTTTTATTTGTTCACATAATTATGTTTAGGTCCGTTAGTGAGAGAAGGTTTTTGCCATGTTTGCTAGAAGTTGAAATTAAAATTTAAAAATCTCATAGTTCTCCGTAGGCCTTTCTATGTTGATAGCTTCTTATCCTTTAGATTAAAAAAAATGTAAATATATATTTATCACATCTATAGCATTAGCATAGATATTTATTGTATCTTCATGTATATTTGTGTGTGTGTATGCATTTGTACTGGATGTATGTTACAGAATTATTCATGGCCAATGCAAAGTTGTCATTCCCCTAGATCATCATGTCTGCCTTGCTGTTCAGACCCTTTCTATTTTTGCTACAGTCAGTAGGATTTCTCTTCCTTAGAGTCCATATCCTTATCTTTCTTTGCTCTTTCATACTCTCTTCTCTGTTGGTATTAATTCTTCAGTTTCGATTTGAAATATAATTCAGGTGGCACTGTCTATTTTTCTTTTCTGTGATTACCTCGTGCTTGTACTGAAAAGTAGGTTGGAAATTTGTGATGTTGATTTTAGTTTTAAACTATTAGATTGAAGCCCACAAATTGATTCCTCTGGTATTCCATTAGGTTGCAAGCTCATACAAATTTTGTCCCATTTTTTGACTTTGACAATGCCTTCACATTTAAGTATGGGATATTTGTCAACTCTGCAATTTGAAAACAACAAAATTTTGACTGTTTTTTTTTTCTTCCATTTGGTCATTAGTAATTATAATAGAGGTGATTCAGATTTGATTATGAGTGATGAGATTAAGAAAATGAATGACTTTTAATGAAAGACATGAATAGAAAGATCATCTAATGAAAAGACCATTAAAGCCAGAAGCTCTTGCCTCTAATTTTGAGACTACAGACTCTACTTAGATGTATTCCAAAAGCAACCTTAAATGATATGTGTGTATTCCTCGTCTCACATTTTTCTCTGCAGCATATAATACTTGCGGTGGTTTGCTTTCATATTCATCTGGGACACTGCAGAGTCCCTTTTACCCTGGAAATTATCCAAACAAAGCTGACTGTGTTTGGGAAATACAAGTAACAAGCAATTTTCGTGTCACACTCACATTCAGGGATATTCAGTAAGTAAAAAATGATTTATAGAGAAAATTACAAGATCGATATTGGACTTAGTAGTTTTTTAACTTCTTGATTTCAAGGATGTTATTCAAAAGTTTCAGTACATCTAAGATGAAAACTTAATTCATTTTTGTTTAACCAGTCATAACAATGTGGATGGCATCTAATAACACAGCAATTGAAAGTTATAATTCCTGTTCCAAGGATTTAATAGTCATCCCAGTATAATATTCTTTTTTGTTGTTGTTGTAATCAGTTTATCTGAGTTTGTTTTTTATTTAAAAAAAAGGTTATTTAAGTAAATGGTTGTATCTACTCCTCAGGATGCAAGGTGGCAGGTGCCTGTCTGATTATGTGGAAATCTATGATGGGCCATTCCGTACTTCTCCTCTCCTTGGGAAAATCTGTTCTGGGACTTCTCGCACATACACTTCTTCCTCAAACCTGATGACAGTCTACTTTCACAGTAACTCTCAATACACATACAGAGGCTTTCAGGCTGACTACTACTCCATTCTAGCAGATCAGAGTACTAGTAAGTGCATGTTTAATATTGAAGCCTGCTTCTAAATTAGCTGCTAATTCATTGATTGTTGATCTTAAATGACTTTAGCAAATCACTCATTTGCTGTTATCTCTAATTTTGTTTAACTGCAGATCTATCATTATTAGACTCTGTTTACCCCTCAAAAGTGTTTTTTTATTTGTTTGTAATTTCATAAATGATTTTGGAAGCTTCATGTGCAATTTTACAGACACTGGTCATGCATTTTATTTGTGAGCATTCATGTCTATTAGGGCTTAAGGGCTGTCATGCAAACAACCTCTTGGTGATGATAACAAGTTTTGTGAAGAGCTCCCTGGGTCAGTTGGTGTAATGAAAACTTGCGGAACTTAAACCATAAAGCAATTTCCATCTTACTGTTTGCTTTTCATGGTTTAGTGTTACTTCTCACTGTGGCTACGACCACTGTCTATTAGAACATTAAAACTTTTTGTTTGTTGTTCTAATAGTGCATCATAATCTCAGAAAAAAATCAAAATAGTGTGAAAAGCATCTTCACCAAGTTTAAAATTATGCTGTTTTGTGTGGTGTTAGAAATGGTTTTGTATAATTTATAACACCAATGATCTCAAGGTCACAAAAAGGAGAAAGTCAGGACCTGTTTTGAAACTAGCCAATACCTCACTACATAGTAGATCAGTAGCAAGCATTTGCATAGTGAACATTTCTTGCAATACCAACAGCTCCTGCAAAAGAACTGCTTATTTAGGTCACAGCATGGAAACACTTTTGCTTGCTTTGATGAGCTTGTAACATGAGTTCTTCCCCCGTTAGCACTTCTGTGTTTGCCCGACTATATGCATGTAGTCGTGAGCAGAGCCTTTCTTCAATCTGAGGGCTACGGGACTTCAAATCTCACCTTGAATGACTCGTACTGTCAGCCCAACATCACACCCAAGTATGTTATATTCAACATACCATACAACAGCTGTGGCACCGTGAGAAAGGTATGACTTTAAGTGTTTCAGCAAAATGTGTAAATATTTTGTGTAAATGTGTCAAAATTCAAGCTGAAGAATTCAAATTTTGAAAAACACGAGGAACTGAAGGCTATACTGTAGTTTGCAGGGCCTGGTAGTGTCCCTGTGACTGTGACCTTCTCCCTCTCTCTTGAAGGTGAAAGTTTATTAACATTTGCATTTCCTTTGCTGGCTGTCAGGTCATTCACTACATCTTGTTGTTTGACCTTCTAAGCCAAAAAAAAAAAAAAAAAGGTATGAGAGGAAGCAAATAGTCAATATTTAAAAGGTCACCAGTTGACTGTGATAATTAAGCAGATATTGAAAGCTTTGGCTTAATAAAACCAATGCATTTTAAGTCAGATTTCAGCTTAAATACTGTGCTAGACCAGAACCTTCATGCATTGTTCAAAGCATTGTATTAAATTCAGTTTAATTCATTTCATTCAGATGCATCTGGGCTTAATGTGAATAGTGTCCTAGATCACCTTGTAGTCACTGGACATGGTATGGCGATAACAGATCCATGTCCTGAGAACAGAAATGACTAGAGTTATACTTTTCTGCATCAGACTTCAACAGAAAAGACACATTTACTGTGCACCTTACTGTAAGGCTATAGCAAAGTTTACATTGCATAATAGGAAACCTAACTATGCAAGTTAATTTTCCATTTTATATACCAAACAGGGAAACAACAATACAATCATCTATTCCAACCTTATCAGTGGATCCTCTTCTGGTTCTGTAATCACAAGACGTAAAAAGCTTCACTTGCACGTCAACTGCAAAATGCTCCAGAACACATGGACACAAATAATGTATGTTGCTGAGGACAATTTTGAACTCAATGAAACTCAGTATAGCAGATACGACGTGAACCTTACATTTTATCACACAGCATCTTTCTCACAACCAGTCTATGACTCCCCGTACTATGTTGATATCAACCAGATTTTGTTCCTTGAAGCTGACCTGCACAGCTCTGACTCAAATCTGGTCTTGTTTGTGGACACCTGTGTGGCATCTCCTAACCCCAATGATTTTACAACGGTGACCTATGATATAATCAGGAATGGGTAAGCTCTTTTGTAAAGCAGTTAAAGATAAGACTAACTGTGAAGTTTATATTTCTTTATGGAAGTTCTAGAGTGAGCATGGTATAAACTGATAGCAGGTTGCTTGTTATTAATTATTGTAATTAATATTGTTGGCAGTGCTGAGAGGAAAGAATTGTTCAATGGGGAGAGGAAGTTTGACCCAGAATATTAAAAATAGCTTAAAGTGGCATTGATTAGATGATCACAGAGCAGGTTACCTGGCAAGGAGGTAACATAGTGACATGTCCAGGCATTGGTAATTTCCTTTCAGAAAAATGTGAATACACTATACAACTTGATGTGTAAAGGCTTGAGGGAGCATAATTGCACAGGGCTGCCAAAGGAGGGCATCTTGCTCTTTCTATTGCGCGTTTCTGCACCGTGATGTAACTTTGGTAATACCTCATCAGCTGATAGCACAATAAATTAAATCAATTCACTTAAAAAACAGGAAGTTAATGTTTAAAACAAATGGAACCACCGTCAGCAAAGGGGAATATTTGTATTGTTTGAAAAGTTTTTATTTGCCAAGTACAGGGATGCTTCCCTGGATAGCTAATTGGATCCATGGGAGGTTGGCATGCTTGTCAGTATGACTACAAATCTCTAGCAATGGGGTAAGGCAGAGCTGCATAGGGTGGAAAAAATATAGAAGTTTCGAAATAGGGTCCCAATCTTCACCATGTTTAAAATCTTTTACCATGTTATATTTATATTCATGTAAATAACTGACTGATTGTTGGGTGCATTCATGAGAGCTGATTTTTTTGTTCCTTTCAGGTGTGTTAAAGATTCCACCTACGCTAATTATTATTCACCGTACAAGTACAAGGCCCGGTTTAAATTCAATGCCTTCCAGTTTGTTCGTAACTATCCATCTGTTTATCTGAAGTGTGAATTTGTGGTGTGCAGGCTAAATGACTATTCTTCCAGATGCTACCAAGGCTGTATTACTAGGGCCAAGAGAGAAGCAAGCTCTACACAAGAAAGAGTGAATGCTGTTGCTGGCCCAATTCAGCTTCGGAAAGATGGGGCTGAAGATAGGAATGCTGGTAATTTAAAACAATATCTCATTTTTCAGATAACATCTTGGAATGCCAGTTTAAATCTGAGCAAAACTACGCTGCTGCTGGATTACTAGCAGCTCTACAATACGTATTGGGAATGCGCTTCCTATCTAATGCCTGTTAATCATATATCACATCCGTTATTTTTGCCAGTACATTATAAAGCCACTAATTCAGCAGTTCTGCAGGGAGTCTGATGGGACATGGCACAGGCAGCTCTGTGGAATTAATCTCTTCCCAAATTGCCTGTGACTTGTACCTCTACGACTGCTCAAAAAAAAAAAATCATTCTGAAAGCTTCCTTGACAAATTTGTTCTAAGCTTTTTGCTTTTTATTTGCTGTTCAGTTTCTTAATGTTAAAATTAGAATGTTTAAGTTGTAGTTTGACTTCTACACATAATCTCTGTTAATATAAAGCCTTTTTGCATCTAGAGTATCCTGGATGAAACACTTAACAAAATCAGTTAAGCTCTAAATCTCACCTAGAATACTTTTTTTTTTTTTTTAATTTATTTCTCTGTCTTGGAAGTAACAAGATGACACGTGTAACCAGATCACTGTCTCTTCATTCCCAGAGCTGGACTCTTCTGGCATCCAGGAAGACAAGAATACAGCTCCTGCTCCAGCTGGTATTTCTCATGCACCATCTATTATTGCTATCACAGCTCTGGCAGTTGCTGTTTTTACTCTTATTGGGTTTCTTTTGAAGCATAAACCGAAGAAACCAATTCCCTACCAACTAATGTGAAATCGCCTACATCTGCCCTACATCTGCACAGTGGTTGAGTAGTTTGATGGAAAAAAGCCTGCACTGAGTAATTTTCCTGACAACTCAAGATTGAAACCTGAGACTGAAAGGCGTTTTGTCATGATGGGTCAGCCCATGAAGAGATGGACTTGGGCATAAGGACCCCAAAGAAGCCAGAAGACCAGCAAAAGTTGCAGCCCATTAACAACTCTCTAATCAGTTCGTTCCCACCTACACTATCAGGCTCGCAAACATTAATGTCATGTCTGAATCATAAGCTTCCTCTTCTCAAAATGAAAATCTTGACTCTGCTAGTAAAAAATACAGTTGTCAGGAGTCCAGGTGGCCAGTTCTTCTTGAGTTTGTTTCTGGTTTCCTCAGGTGTAAATTAAGATCAGTAGTCTTTCCTTTCATGAAGAGCTAGCACCTATTAAAATGCTTGATAACGGTTTCTGTTTCCACTGCAGTGTGACAAAATATTTGATTGCAAGTATTACTGTTGTATCTCCTAAGTCTTCTTTTAAGCTTTGATTTCTATCACTTCAAATATTCTGAGATGGAGATTAAAGACCGCATGACTGAAATGTTTCCTGTGGAAGGGCAGCCAAAAATACCTGAACAATCATTCACTTACTAGAAGAAATACAAAAATACGTCTTTCAAGTGCATACGGATCCTCACACACAATGTTTGAGTATTCCATGAATAGTTCTTTAAGGACATCTTTCTTATTGAAGAAAACATAGTAGATGGCTGATTTCTAATACAGATTAACCTCTATAATTATAAGAGTAGGAACCAAAAGCTTCTAGTGTGATATTTCTGCTTTAACTCCTTAAAAATGTCTCTGAATTTGAACTCAAAGTTTTGCTGTCTTGAAGAGCATCATCTGCAATAAAGAGATTTTTCCAAGCAACATGTTGTGTGTATGTGAAAGGCAACGGGATCATCATGTATTTGAGGTCCGTAATTATCCAGGCAGAGCAGTCATCAGTGGGCTAAGAGCAGAACAAATCGCTGTTTAAATTCCTGAAACAGCATCTGTCTTGACTGTCCGAACGCAGCCTCCAGGAGCCTGTCACAGCCATTGGCCTACTGCAAGTCTGTTCTCTCCATCAGTGGTGAATATTGTGAATGATTCATGCTAGACTAAGACACAGGGAGATCCTTGCCATGGCCAGAAGGTCTTTGGAGATTTGGTTGCCTTGAAGAAATGCCATTTGCTCTGTCTGTGGCTGCCTGTATGAGCTAGGCTGCCTCTTGGTGACCACGTGAGGTGGAGCAAAGTAAGAGGCAGAGTGCAAGGCAGGTAGCAGTGGAGAGCAGTGGAGACCTCACTGCAGAGGTGCTTTGCCATGATATTTCTTGAACCTGCGTTAATGTCCTTCAGCCCTGGGTTGCCCCTGATTATGGATGAGTCTGGTCTGTGGCCAAAGCAAAGGAGCATCGGTATCAATGGCTGCTTTCAGGAAAGTCCTACGTCAATCATTAGACCTTTGGTACCTTTATTGCAACATTCAGAAGCTTAGAAAAGTGAAGTAAACAAAGCTGTCACTTTCATTGTTCTAAAAGTTGATGTGCTTAAATATAATGAAGAATCTGTAAATGAGCAAACAAAGCTATTGTTGTGTCCCTTCTGCTTTTGGAGTGTGTTCAAAGCTTCCAAAAGGAAGAAGTGTAGGTGAGACTTCTCAGCCTTTTCTCTTATTACATTGATAAGGGAATTGCACAGAACTGTGGAAATAGTTCTGGGGTGTGTTCCTGACAGGAAAGTAAACTATTAGGGTGAAATCTAGATGGTGAACTGAGTCGAGTGAAAGTTTAATGATTCACAAGTTCATTTAATGTTTAAGATCAAGGCAGCAAAAAGATTGTAACAAATTTATCATAAAATCACACCTACATAATCGCAGTAAGACCCTAAATCAAAGAAAGAAGCCCTTATCCTTAAAATTCCAACAAAACTATTACATAGCAGGACTCTATGCCTATAATTTTCCACTCTCTCACATTCTGAATAAATAGATTTAACAGAAAAGATATGAGTATCAGTACAGCCATACTGTCCTATGGAGATGTAGTCCTTCTTTTTCTGTGTGAGGTGTCTCTTCTACCTCTTTTAAATCATGAATTTGAAGTCAAATCGTATAGTCATGAAAGTTGAAAGTGCACCCCGTAAATACAAATAACTGTTGTTAATAACCAACTCTTACGTCTCATTTCCTCTTTTTTTTAATCATTCTTTCCTTAGGAATTCTGATAATTTTCCCTTTGTAAAGGCTTGTGTTAGTATTTACAGTTCTTTCAAAGGTTTGTTTTTTTTGGTTTTTTTATTTGGTCAATTCAGCCTCTATCATTAGTATTTTTAGCTCAGGTGCTTGGTTCAAAACTACACCAATCTATCTACACAGTGGGGTGACAGCTACAAAGCGCAGACTGGAACACGGCTGTTGTCTTTTTTTTTTAGGGGATGACTCACACGTCCTTATGACAGGACAGAGTACTCATTGTACTTGTATGAACCAGAAAAGTCCTTTCTTTCAGACAGCCTAAAGAAGGACAAAGCAAAAGGCAACTGCAGCACAATGAGATCCTCAGGATAAAAATATAGATCTTAGAGAGGATGTATAAGACTTTTGTAAGAGGTAACTTGCAAAAACAAACTAGAATCTTTTAAAAATATTTTAAATATTTCTATAGACTTGCAATGCTCTTGGGTCATATTTGTTGTGTTTAAAATCAATCTAACAAAATAGTATCAGCAAAACACATAAGGTATTTCATGTTGTTTCATTTTGTTAAAGACCCCTACGCTGTCTCCATCACTTCTGTTTGTTTTGAGAGAGAAACAGAACAATGCAAAATATTTTGTAACAAGGATAATATTCACAAGGGGCTGCTCGAGGCAGCTAAGTGTAATGTCTCAGCTGATGGACATTAGCTGACAGATCCTGGCCAATGCTTGGCCATACATTATGGTACAGCCAGCTGCTAGGCTCTCTTATGCTAATGCTTGGCTCTTATTTATTTTATCATAGAGCATGGCCTGGACCTAACTGAGCAGATCTTATTGCTGCCTAAGACTCTCCAAGAACATTTCTGAGTTTTCGCATCAGTGCACAAAAACAAAACCTTCTGTTTCCCAGTTTTGTCGGGCTCTGTAGAAAGGCATAACATAATCTGGTTTGGCCTCTGAACCTTGTCTCTCTCTTCTTGAGGTGTGTTGCCCTCTGTGTGCACCTTTGTTGTGAAATGTATGATTTGAGGGCATCAGCTGAGCAGTAAGCATTTCAGCAAATATCTTCATAATGGGTCTGAGAAATGTAATTGGAGGTCTGCTATTGCAGAGATATAGGCAAACACTCAAATACCCTGAGCGTTTCCAAAGATTTCAGGAAACTACTCATAATAGAAAAGTTAGGCACGTATTTTTTAAATGTTTGCAAAGTTTTGTTTAATATTATGACCCAACCTGGCTCTCAAATATAACACAATAATATATGTGTAAAGCCAGCTCTGTTAATGATGTGGCAAAAATCACACCCTTTCTACTAATTGCTACACAATGCCTAGCAGTTATGCAGGAGTGGCTGGGAAGAATTGGGTAACTGCAGTTATCATTGCCTACCCCTTTAATAAAGCCAATCATAGAATGCTTAAGGTTGGAAGGGACCTCTAGAGGCTCCTGCTGTCTTACAGAGTATTATACATAAGACATTCCTCAAATTTTTAATAAGCAATTTTAATAAGAAGGAGAATGAAGGAGAGCAGAGTAAAAGAGAAGAGATTTTGAGTCTTGGAGCCTAGTTGCCTTGACTCATATCCCCTCTTTCCGTAGCTAGCTGACTTATCCACCACAGAAGTGATTGATTTGGTCTCAGCAAAACTAAGAAAGGAAAGTACTGAAGTTACGTGAAGACTGACAAGCTTCCTTCTAAGAAATAACAGTGATTTGAGTAAAGAGGAGAAAGAGGCTGAAGGGGGAAAGCCAGGTTTGAGGATCAGATACAACGCAGTAGAGAAAGATACAGCTGAAGTGTCATGTCATATGGAAGCTAGTATAGACCATATGAAACATTCACCAGGGTCGTACTCTTCTTTTTTTTTTTTCCCAAAGACCCTTCAAACCTCTTCTGACTCTTCAGGACCTTCATTCATTATGTGAATAAAATGCACAGGTATCACGCCAGGAGAGGAGTGCAGGTCTGGTCATATGATGGGAGTGTGAAAGACCTTGTTTGTATTCCCGAAGACTGCTTTTATGTCCTCCATCCCAGGCATATCACTGCAAGGGAGCTGTGTCACATGTTCCCAAAATGTCTCTGTTGGAGACCATAACCCATTCTGGCAAAAAAATGGGAATTAGAAGTTTAAGAGGTGCCGTGAGGGTAACCTGTATTTTGGTTTGATTCATGCATTCCCCTCAGATACAATTCACTCTTTAAAACACTCTCTAAAAATCACAGATCTAATTGCTGTTGCCACAGATCTCTTTTAATGTATCTTTTTTTTTTCCTTCATTACGGACATCACAAAGGAATTGTACAATATGACTAATGGCTACTTCAGTATCCCACTGAGGTAGATTATCAAAGTGGTTTGTCATTTATTCCTGTTTCCTGACACAAGTCCAGTTTCATTTTGTGACAAAATTGGTCAAGCCAGGAGGCTTGGAACTGGCTCAGCAAATATTGCAGGAAGCCTCACAGAACACACGTATCCAAGAAGGCATGAATTAAGCATGAACACCGTGAAATTCTGCTTAGCCGTTGGCTAAGTGTGCCAATGCTTATCCTCTTCTGCGCTTATCCAGGTTTTGCAGGGCATCTTGCAGTCTTACCTGGTACTGTCAGGCCCAGTGAGTGAGGTACAAGCTGAGCAGTGCACAGAAATTAGAGATCAGTGGAATAGAGATCTGAAAAGAATTCAAAGCCTGACAGGGAAGAAAAAAACATCCCGAAGCACCCGATATGGCTCTGCACAGATTTCAAATGCAAACGCACATCTGTGGTGTTAGGGAGAACTGAAAGTCACCAACTTCTAGTCATATACAGTCCAAAAGTAGGCCATTGCCTTTTCTGATTCAGACAGGAAAAATAGGTTTAGAATGGAGAATAGCATTCAATAAATGGAATGTTACTGTAAACTCTAGATTTGGAACTTTATATTTTTCAGATTTGTTTTAATGAACACCTGAAATCCAGTAGAAGATGCCCAGGTATTTGCTTCCAAATACCCAACGTTTTTTGTGCTATGGTAAGACAGGTACAACTGCCTGTACTCTGGTTTCATGATGAAAGGTCAAGAGCTAAGGCAGTGGTTTCATTTCCTGACTTATGTCAGAACTGCAACAGATTCCTGATATGCTATCAAAAAATGCAGCTTCTTACACTTGGTGATTTACAGGTTTTATGGTACTGTATTTTGCAGTGAACTTCCTGCTGCTGTGATTTCAGTAAATGCATGCAGTAAAAAAGAAGAGGTAAACTCAGGGGGACTTTGTACAGAGGATGCTGGCATTTTAACTGGCATTTAGCAGCTTCAAATCAAAGACATGAGTGCCTGTGTAAGTTAAAAAATGGTGACTAGAAATGACAAAAATGCACTGGGAAACTGGGACGGGGTGAGGTAAATGCACACAACAATTCTGACAAGCGATTTTATATTGAAGAACCACACTAGCAGACTTCATTATTGCGAATAAACTTGCAACAGAGTATTTAGTCCTCCTTGACTAAATACTCTAAATTCTTTGTTTTGAATTGTTGTCCATAAATTTCCTGTTTATCAAACTAAAGAATACTTGAGGTTGGAAAGAACGTCTGGAGATCATCTAGACCAACATCATCTGCCAACTGGATATTACTGAGAAAAGCAGTTCTATCTTCTTTAGACCCTCCCATCAGGTATTTATATATATGTTGATAAGACCCCACCCAGACCCTTCTATTGCTGATGCTAAACAACAGCAGCTCTCTCAAGTTCTCCTTGTATGCCGCAAGCAAGAGTCATCTTTCTGACCCCTCAGTGGTCTTGCTCCAGTTTGTCCATGTCTCCTGCACTGAGGAGCCCACCACTGGATGCAGCCCTGCAAGGTGGCCTCACCAGGGCTGAGCAGAGGGGTCAGGACCATCTCCCCTGACCTGCTGGCAACGCTCTGCCTAACGCAGCCCAGGTTGCTGCTGGTCTGCTTTGCTGCAAGGGCATGTTGCTGGCTGTTCAGCTTGTTTTCCACCAGGATCTCCAGGTCCTTTTTTGCAAAGTTTCTTCCCAGCTGATTATGAGTACAAAATCTTATTTTTCAAAAAATTGTAGGAAGCAAGATGATCTCAAAGCCCCTTCTCACTTAATTAGTCACAATGTGTGATTGCTCTACTAAGCCTATGGTACTGGTCTTGCTCTTGCCGGGAAGTTAGAAGCAATAAAACTGTGAATGGAAATGTTCATGCTTACATTTCTTTATTAACATATGAAAACAATCAGTTGTATTTACCATTGTCCTCCTATTTTTCCTCTTCTCACTGACCGTTTTCACAGCTTCTGTCTCTGTTTGTGGTCTCTTTGTCTTTTGCTTCTCCTTCCTCTAATTTAATGCTGTTAGCCTTTGCAGAAAGAGGACTGTATATTTCTTTTGTCTTTAGCTAGAAACTCTACTTGGTTGCAACAGGAATTGAGACTATGCCAGTGGGAATCATAAGTTATTACACCAGCTATTGCAGTTTATTTGCTGCCTGGATCATCCCAGATGAAATAGAAAGAGAGGCGGGACCTGGATGAAATATGGTCAAAGGACAACAGTTGCCTATTTCTACTTGTCCCCTATTTTTCTTGTCGCATGAGGAGGAACAATAGAAGTGGCTCCAGCAAGCAGAATAGCAGGACAGAATGATGGGCTGTTGTGCCCTAAGGAATCTAAAACGACATTAAGACTTCACATAAACCGGCTGAGGAGTTCATTTCAGCATGACTTTTGATTTTACTTCAACTCAAACCTCTTTTGCCTTCTCTAAGCTTTGTGATTCAAAGGCTTGAAGAATCTTTATGGGCAATTTCTCTTGAGGAGCAAGCCAGAATATTGAGGAAACTGATTTCCCTTTACCTGATATTCATTAGGCAGCATCTGCAATAGTGAGTGTGGCTTTGGATGCCACAGTACAAGGAAGACACTGTCAAAGCAAAGTAAACTCAGCAGAGGACAGTTAAGGGAGTAGTTAAGCACAGGAACAGGTTGCCTAAAGAGACTGTGAAATCTCTGTTCTTGGAGGTTTTGAGGAAAGGACTGGGCAAAGATATGTGTGATCTGTTCTAAATTAAGGCCTGGCCCAGTTTTGAATGGAAAAATGGATTAGAAGCATCCAAAGGTCTTTTTCCATTAAGATTCCAAGAATTTGCTGACTGCTCTAATGAACTATTGACAAGAGATAGGGAAATATGCTTGTAATTTCAAGAGGATTTTATCAGAAAATTAACCATTTGTGAGACCAGGGTTGTCTGCCAAAGGGTCTCTTGGAAGACTTGATGTGATTTTAATGCTTCCCCTTGCAATACTATTTAGAGTCTCTGCCTAAAAAGTGCCTACAAGCAGCAAATAACAAACAAACCAACAAACAGAGGTGGTTAGGAAGCATTTAGGTCCAAAGGTAGTAACAGACCTGCACACCAGTCAAAGTTGCAGTGAGATAATTTGAAGTAATAGGGGTAGCACAGGTTTTCCAGGAAACTGAAACTTAATATTCATGTATTATCTTTCTGCAAATACTGAGTGGCCATAAAAATGTTGGTTAAGAAATCAAATGTAACCTGAGTCATGCCTATAAAACATACATTTTATAACGATTCATTTTTCAGACAGACTGACCTTGGGAACTGCACTCCTGTGGAGGTGTTTGGTATAAATTCTGACACTCTGCTTCATTGGCAGCTCTGGACAACATGGGTACCACCGAGCGCTTGATGTGGCTGTTCCTCGTGGTTTCAGCATGTATGGATGCCTGCTCAGGTAAACTATGTAAAATCTTTGAGGTAAATTCTTTAGTGCAATGAAACTGATATTGCTCCAACTGCATATTATTTTACAATCATAGTTTAGATCAACTACACTACTATGAAAATAGTACTAAATGATTAATTTGTACAAATAAGTATTTTTCAGTATGTGAATTTAGAAGGATTATACTTTATTTGGCCGCAATGAATATTTGCTTTAACGCACTCCAAAGTGAACCTTCCAGATGCATGTGGCATGACCCAATGCACATTTAACTATATAAAATCTAATGGAAATAAATCACAGTTGCTGTCATGTATAGTACCACAAGCACCAGGGAAGTGATTTTTCCTCTGCCCACTGTGCCTTGATGCCGTTGTACACACAGACAGACCTGATGCAAATATGTTGGGCAACTTGAGGAGAGGAAGGGGCTATTCTGCGCTTCCTTGTGCAGCATTCCCGCTTTCTTTCTATTCCCTTCTTCTGGAACTTACTCTGCTGCTTTGTGTTTCCTTGCTCCTGCCTCTAAATGAGCTGTGCAGTCTTCCAAAAGCTGCATCTGCCGGTATACATCAGACACCAAAAGGGAGCATTGAAGCTCTTTTGGAGTGTAGGTCCTGCAAGGGCAACAGTGAGAGAGCTGTTATGCTGTCTTTTATACCAGCCTCTTTTCTTAGCAACAGTAAATAAGAATGCAATGCCCATTTTATTCTGCCAGCATATTGCATATCTGTGGGCAAAACATGCAAGTCTTCTCTTAGAATTCTCATTTCTACCCCTCTCCACCAAAATTCTCTTGTCATTCATATTCTGAAGCATCAGTCTGCTACCGCCATAGTCATAGAGTGGGAAAAGTATGTCTTCTTGAAAAAAATAGCTCCTGATGACTGCTTAATTCTCTTTTTGTATTACAGGTACCACAAGTCCAAGCCTTGGGGTAACGGGCGAAGGTAATCTTCATAATTTTTAAATAACTTATGAATACC